AAAAATTTTCTTTGTTGACCTAAGTAGGAATTGACTTAATTTTTTTTATATTACTTGTTTTTACCAAATTATATTTTAGTCAGCATATGTATTTTAAAAATAATTTTGAGAACAAACTATTTTTACAGCAATTTAATTTTTAAAAAACTCGAAATTATCAGATAATGTGAACAACCAATGCACCAACCCACTTTTTTGCTTCACATCCGTCACCATCGTATTTTCTTTAAAAAGCTGGCCATGTGTTTCATTTTTCCTCTTTCATCGGCTGAAAATAGCCTTCGCCAATATTATTTTTTAGAAAAAATATTATCTAAGCTTGAACTCAAAATACGATTATCTAAGCGAGAGTCGTTATCATTCGTCGCATGTCTTTGATAAACTGTCTCTATGATAAACACTAATATTCTTCACAATGTCTCGTACATACATTGGAACAAAGTAATTTTTTTCTACATTTTCTTACTGACTTTTTCTTTTCACCATTCATCGCCCTACGAAAGCTACGCGCTACAGCTACGGACATCCTACACTTGAGCCACAGTAAAATGATGAGGATACCCGAGTTGGCACACCAAGCCAATGATAAGACCAGAAGCATCAACGTGCACCAGCCTCTTTATACGGACGGTCTTGTAGCGTCGCCATATTAGACGAACACTGTACGACAACACTTGTCATTTTTGAAGCACCAGGGTGAGCAGAATAGCCAGATGGATCATTGTATCCTTCAAGGGGACCGCGTATTCTCTCACGCCCGGAGCAAAACAGACGTTGCACCGATTCTGAAAACGGCTTTAATGTTACAACACCTCTTTCTTCTCCGACATCCAGATCGTTTTTCTCACGACGATTTATAGAAGGATTGATCGGTCATCCATTATTTCGTTCCTTCGCACATGTTGTCCGCGAAGTACTTGAATGAAGGAATGCCGACCTGTTGTGAAGAAGAAATACTCAGCACGGTAGTCCCAGTGTCTAAGAAAAAGATCATTTGATAGACCCTCCATATGGTTTATGAGGTACGGCAGCGTAAATTATCTCAATCGCGACGGTCTTTTGTCTCAAAGAACCAATGGAGTTATGACCAAGACAGAGGAGGCTGGGTGCAGGCCCGAGAGACGCTCGCCAACAGAAATTATTGGGGGCGTGAAAGGGGCCCAACCAGGGGGTTTAAAGAGTGCGTTCCGAAGATGACAAGAGGATGATCAAGTGATTAAGGAAGTGCGAGGACCTCTTCAAGACAGAGTGGGAGTCTTTGGGCAGCCGCACCAGTAACTGATCTTGGGCGATAGAAGTGAAAGAGGTTGCGATGACAGCCACACCCGGGAGACAATCATCTGAAGATCTACAAACGCTGATCCGAGCTTAACTTTTCTCCAGCGAAAGGCTGCAAAGATTAGAATGATTAAAAATAAATTTAATTTTTTAATTAATTTTTAAATGAAATTACTTTTAGCCAAAAGCTGTGTGATTCCACTCGCTGCCCAGAAATGAAGCAAATTTGAGGGTTCACGATGTTACAGTCTTAAGTGGCTCCAGGGTCCGAACCCGCGACTCGACAACGCCGACCACGAGTTTATGACCATGACCGCTCGTATACCATAGCCACTTTATTCATGGCAAGAGATAAACAGCTTGAGGTTTTAAAAAAAAACATTAAAACCACACATTAAAAAAAGCTGTACAAATAGTGGATTGATTACAGTAAATTCTCATTGATCCGGACAGCAGGAGTGGCTCTAGAGCCGGACAAACCGGGCGGCCACTGCCCTGGGCGGCATTTGGATCGAATTTTGAGATTTTTTTTTTTCGTTACTAAAAACTTTATATACTTTCTGAAATATTATTGGGTGGGAATTTGGTATTTTATTGAACGTATCTTATTTTCTTATTTCGTACTCTGTATGTTTCATGCTAGTTTTCTTTTCCGTTGAAACTTGACGGGTTCGAGGCGGGAGTACGTTTAAATCATGGAATTTAATATTGTTTACATATTTTTCACTAATAACTTTCTCCCCAGTCCGGAGTGGGGTCATAACAGGCATTCATTTCACCCATGCGATGTCCGGTTTCAGCTATCCAAAAGGGGACAATGGTAAATAAAGAGTTTTTGGTAGATAGAGATTCATGAGATGTTTTATTTTAGTCTCGAGTGACTATAAGTTAAAACAAACGCCACAATCAGTACACTCTTTTTCGAAGAAATTGGCCTGCTGAAATGGGCGATTCCTTGTCTTACACTTTACTCGTTTAAATAATAACAGGTAATTATGTTCTTAATTTCAAATTATTTTGCATTTTTTAAGACTTAAAATAATATACATAATTGTTCTGCTGCCTTTTTTTTCGCAAAAATTATTCAAGTTTTACAGGTGTGTGTGTTTGTGAACAATTCATCTTTATTTTTTTATTTTTTTTTTTTTTTTGCTTTGGAGAGAGGGGCGGCATTTTCCATTTTTATCCGGGGCGGTAAAACGACTAGATCCGGCACTGCAAACAGCAAGATTTCACTTAATCCCGGCATCCACTAAAAAAAAAAATTCTAAAAAGACTGTCAGGATAATAACATTCCTATTTCATGATGACCATTAAACAAAATTCAATTCTCAATCCACACGACAGTTTTATAATCCTAGATTGTAAAACCAGGATATACCATGATCTCCAATATCCAGAAAGGATACAATCTTATTAGGTACGACAAGGTATGACAGTCTTTGAATTCCACAATACAGAACTGAAGAGAAAACACAAAAAGAGTTTCCAGGTTGAAATTCCAAATAAAAAAACAAAAAAATACCAAAGAAACCATTTAAAATACAAAAATTAATGCATTACAATAAATTGTACACGTTGGTTTTTATAATCAATCTTTTAAGAAATGTATCTTTTAAAAGAGTAGAGCTTTTAAAAAAAAAAAGTGAACAAAATAGATCATGAAATTCATCATTAGATAATAATTAAATTATAAAAGACATTTTCTTCCAAATAATGACTAAAACCACCCAAGCACAGCATACTCCAACAACTATAACTTAAATATAAAAATTACTTGAAGCAATTTTCCTATCGTAAATATTGCATTTGCATAAGATGCGTGGGCGGAGGCTTTGTTCTTTACCAAAAGGATGTACACACACACACACACACGTCTCTAATTGAATAAATTCGACCTACCACTCACGCATAAGCTAAGAATAGGAAGTTTTCTTGAATACAAACAAATTTCTAGGTAAAATAAAATAGATACTTCTGTGTGTGGGTGTTTAAATGTCGACACTTTTCCACATGTATAATGGGACAGAGCTAAAATCGTTTCCGACAGAGATACTTAAGCTTAATTCGCAAACTATTGTGAATTAGTTACTAAGAAATAAATTACATTTCTTTAGCAATATTGTTACTCGTTTTTCGATTTCAAATGCATAGTGCATTTAAAACTAAACAAGCCACCTATCCGGTATAGTGGTTAGTGATGCTGCCAACTAAGCCGTTGGGTCTGGGTTCGAATCCCGGAAGAAGGCATGGATGTTTGTAAATGTATAGTGTCTTTACGGCTAGGGGGTATTCTAAATAGCCGTCGAGTCGCAAGTTCTCTCGTGAGGTTGGTGAAAGGGGAAGAAAGGTGGGAGGACCCTGATCACCTCCAGGGTGCTCTCTATCAAAATCGGGGTGGAACCGAGCCAAATAATACAGTCACCTGAATGGTGCTCAAAGCTACGGCTAGCTCCTTGACGCGATGAATTTTGTGGGCATCGATCTCACACCGTCAGTCCAGGTGGAATTAGCAACAAAAACAAAACCAAATAAACTCAACTTCATAAAATAGTATTTCCCTCACCCATAATTGTAAAGATGGCATTTATTTTTACATTTTTGACATATTAATTAAACTTACAGCTATCATTTCAGTTAAAAGAATTCCATACATTAAAAAAAATGAAGGTTCAAAACTAATTTTCTCGCAAGCGTGTGTGCGCCGCTAGAATTCATCGCAAGTTAAAAAACAGGAAAAACACACACACACACACACATTTCCGGTTTTACTTCATAATGCATGCGTCCTGTGACTTAACCGCAAAAACAGTCAGACTATTTGATGGAACAAGGAATCCTTAATAAGGAAAGCAAAGAAAAAAAGGGGGGAATGGGAGGTGGAATTTTCCACCACTCTTCAGAATCTAGATACGTTTTCGGATTCCAAAAGGTGAATATAAAACCAAATTACGAAAAAACTGGAAGGGAATAAGAAATAAAAGAAGTCGTACGAAAAAAAGAAAGGGAAGAACAACTGTTCTGGAAGCCTTTGTCATCTAAATGTAAATGCCATATCTAACGGACTTTTCCTTTCTAATAGAAGACGGGTCTACCAAATAGAGGGAAAAATGGGAAAAATACCTCCCCTTTCATGAGTATGAGGATCTGGGTTTGACATGCAATGTTTAACATCTGCGGGAATGAGAAAAGCAGATCAAAATATGCTTATAGCCGCAGGGAGTATTCACTTTCGTGATTTAGGGATTATACTTCCCCTTCTTTCTATCTCATTTTGAAGAGGATACTATTGTGGAAGGGAGAACAGGTACAAAAGAGCTCTCACAAAGTGAAGAGCCTCATTTTTTCTTCTTCCTTATTCATTTTATAACTTAGGTTATGAGTTGCGAAAGAGAACGGTGCGATTTAAATTCCGTTTTCAATGGGGGTTTGAACACTTTCAGTGCTATTTAAATAGTTTGTCTTTTTCAATTCCTACTAAAAGTTCACTCTCTCCCTATTTATATATATTTATATAACTTGTTCAAATTTTCAATCGTTGTTTTTATCATCCATTCTAGTTCAAAAACATTTTTTTTTTTTTAAACTTGCAGAGGATGACACCTGATGTTAATATAGTTCTTTCAAATATTAAGTTATTAATTAAATTAAAAAATGAATAAATAGTAACAAACAAAAACAATAGTCCAACAGCATATATAGAAAGGAAAATCGTTCGTTGTGTCCCTGTAGTATATTAAATAGCGCGTTGGACTTCTAATCCAAAGGTCGTAGGTTCGAATCCTACCTGGGATGGTCTAATTTCTAAGAATGTGATTTCTCTTTACTAAACTATTTTATTAGAATAATTAAATTTAATTAATGAATAAATAATAACAAGCAAAAAAATAGTCCAACACCATATATAAAAAAGAAAATAGAAAATTGCAAGGAAAATCACTTTCTATTTTGTCACTTAATATTGTGATTATGTCACATGTATATACATGTTTATATTAATTGTAACTACCTAATAAAAAGTAACTAAAATAATTTTTTTCTTTGTTGACCTAAGTAGGAATAAACTTTTAAAATTTTTTTATATTTCTTGTTATTAAAGATTGCGCTAAATGAATAAGGAATACTTTTCTAACAACAAGGAAACGTGCGCCATTCAACTGTATAACCCAATCCCCCCTTGCACCTTGAAGGTAAGGGGAAGTTAAATGACAATATTATTTAATCCGGGAATCATTTTAAATTTACTTATTGTCGATAAATGCTTCCAAAATTTTCCCCGCTTCATGTCATTTAAAAATATTTATAAAAAGTCGACTGCGCAATCGTGAAATTATTGCACTTCATTCTGTTTTTTTAAAGCTTACATTTAATCCTATTAAATAAGAACTTATATAATCAAATCCAAGTAATATTTCTACTTATAAACAAAGCTCATAACAAACTATACGAAAACTTAAAATTGTTAATAACCACCAAAAATCACGTAAAATGCTTCTCGCAAATTTAAATGTATAATATCAAGTTTGAAAATAAGTAGAATGTAGTATATCAAATAAATGTCTGAGATCAAGACTTAATATAATCTGAGAAGAATATTTATCAAGGCAAGAAAATTTTTCAAATACATTACCACCAGAATATAATAAATTCTCTCATCAAGGTGTACAATTATTTCAAAAATACATTTTCCAGTGAACACAAATCTGAATCTTTCTCATTCAAAAGTGTGAACTTCAAAAACGTTTATTTGAGAGAGAGAGATTACAGCTTATATTATACTTGCTCTCATTTTGTGCGCGCGTATGTACACACAAACGTGCATGCATATATATGCCTGCAATTTAATACGCATTCTTAATTATTCGTACACAATACAGAATTTAGAATAATTTGAAATAATAAATTTAAAAAATAAATGCTTTATTTTTTTATTACACACTAATCAAAACTTAATAAAAAAATACTTCCATCTCATTTTATAATACTTCCAAAAAATTCACTTTAAGTTTTGTTGAACACTACGCGCGCTTAACAGAGGGGTTGCCCAAAGGAAAAGTGGACAAGTTCAATAAAAAAAAAAATGATTTAATTGGAAATCAAAAGAAATCGCTCTGGGGATTGTAACACAGATCCCATCGTTTCGGCAGCAGCTCTATGTCTTCATTCTAGAAAGAACATGCTTGATTCTTGAGAAAGTCTTAATCAGCTTCCTTCAATTCATTGTCTAAATGGAAACTTAATACTCTCCTAAGAGGCCTTATGGCCTAGGGTGACAAATCCGGACTGTACGATGGGTGTTCAACTATTCCCAACGATTTTTTTCCACGGCAGACGTGTAGATGGACATTGTCATGGAGATCCGATATGGTTTGCTGCCCTTCAAGAAAACTTTAACACCAAATGTTCCCAAACGTTAGACCTTAACAGTGCTCGTCATAAAGTGCCACTAATCATAGATAGATGTCCGCATTAAATTCACCTCCTGCAATGAGAAACCATACTACCGCACGTTGTTCCGATCTGGAGGCATCCTTCTTTGGCACGACATCCCTTTCAATTAATTTCCTCTAGCACTAACAGGTTTCACTGTTAAACATCGTATGCAGTGTTCACTTCTTACCGTCATTTGTGTCCCTGTTTGGTGACTGTGCAAAAGCTGCCCTCATTCTGACACAATCGCATGTGACCATTTTTTCCTTTGGGCAACCTTTATAATTTTCAAAACACTACAAAATTGCTGACATTCTGATACCACATGCCGTACGACCTTCACCGCCAGTATAAAAGCTCAGAGAAGTCGGTTGCTCTCTCTTTTTGTGCTTTGTCTGTTTGTCAACAACTTGTCTTCGCTACTATGTGTTGCTTCTGCTTTTTGTGTGTTCGCGTATATAAATTATTCTAATTGATATTGCATTTCATATATTGGTGATTGTAAATAAAAGAAGAATGAAACTAACCCTGAAGAAGTTTTCTATCAAGAAACAACCAAACTAAATACCCCTCGGCCAATCTACATGTAAAGAATCAACACCGGACACGCTACAAAATAATTCGTCAGAAATACTTCGCCAGAAATCATCTCATGAAATTCCCACCTACATGAAATACACAAAATACAATATGCACTGAACTTCCAACAATATCAATAAAACTAAATAAATACGTCACACAGACGTCAATACAATGCAATCTCAAGATCTGTATAAAACAATTGCAACAGCCTTAATAAAAATTCAATTAAGTAAATAGTGAATTATTTTTCTCACAGATTCTCTTTAAATACATGTCATGTACATATTTTACGTCATGCCACATCCGTCTTCATGATCAGATAACAAGTTTACTTAATCTGCTTAAATAATACCAATCCTGATTTCGGCGGCACCGTTTAATCGATAATACGCGTATAGCATTAATTGACAAGATTAATTAACGCCATTTAAATACAAGAGTTATTCAATTTACTAGTACTCAGAATTAATAGATGGTCGAAGGAGAATGTCATTTAGTTTCGAAAGGATTAAATGACACGGAATCATAATTCTATCCTGTATTTGATATCAGCATTCATGTCTACAGTTTCCATTTCCAGTTTAAAATGAAATCGATTGCCCATCCGTTTCATAAATCTTAACGAATAAACGTCTGCCATTCTGCATTTTATTGGATAGGAATCAGAGAAATATCAGAGCAAAACTCATTGCGGTATCTCAAATACCAGTCGAATGTGTAGCTATCATTTAGAAAACATGGAAGCATATGCCTTTTTGGATATAAAAAAATGAAATGGTTTTAATTTAAACAACCTTAAGCTACAGCGGTGATTCCTAAAGTGGTCTATATGGATCCCCAGGGGTCTATGACGACCTGAACGGGGTCCACGTCAGCGAAAAAATAATTTGGAGGTCCATGAGGTGTAAATGGGGGTCTACGATACCCTAAACCACATCTTGACTTTAATTTTAAAAGAAAATTTAATCAAGTGTAAACCAGATTTACCTATTTAACAGCTTTATGTAATGAATTTACAGGGGTTATAAATTAGCAATTACAAGGCGACACATAAATTTTATTGAAAAAGGACCATCAGCTTAGTGTTTCTTTTGCCAGAATCAAGCTAAAGGAATATAAAACTGGACGTCGTGAATTTTAAGTTTCTCAAAGTGTCACAATCTGCCAGAAAAATGAAGTTTTAACTTATGTTCAACATTTAAATGCCCTTTATTTCGGTTTTGAAATTAGGTTTGAGAATCCTTTGACTATAGTGATATCACAGTGGATAATGAATTGTTACATTAAAGAAAAAAACTCTGATTACAAAAGGAACTGATTTTAATAACCCTAACGAAAATCTTAAAGTAAAGTTTAGAAACGAATGTCAGCAATTTCGGCTTTAAAAAGATATACCTGTTGTTTATCCCGAATTATGGAAGCATCTCAAGAAAGTTTTTAATTGCTTTTCCCAGAGAACAGGAGTTTTAGTGCGCCTGCCAATCTCCAAAAAATAAACAGAAAGAAAAAGAAAGATTGTATACTACTAACGAGGAGATTTAGGGTTAAACCTGAAAAGATCAAAGCCAAACGTAGAAAATTTGTTACTGATGCAACAGATTCATCCCCCACCCATTAAAAACATTTGTTTGTTGCTCAGTTATTCAATGTAACATTTCATACATTAATTACATTTTAATTTAATTAATTCACACATGTGTTTCTTAAGTTTTAAACTACATTACTACAGTTAGAAACATAAAATTTTTGAAGTAAGTAATGCTAAACCAGCTGTGAAAAAACATTTAAGTTGATAAATTTCAAAAATTTAGTGTTCGGTAAAGAGGGTCTACACAAAACCGAAAAATGAGTCAAAAAAGTTTGGGAACCTCTGGTCTATTTCAACCCCCGGGGGTCTAAGTCAACGAGAATAAAATGGGGGTCTACGAAAGTGACTCTCATCAAACCAGATTATGACTTTAATTTTATTACCGCAAAAACCGGCATATAACGCGCACTTTGAACCCAAAAAATCAGATCGAAATTTATAAGGGCGCGCGTTATACGCCGGATGTAAAAATGATAGCTTTAAAATTCCAAAGAAAAGATCAAGCACAAGTAGAATTAAATTTCTACATCGATCGGAACACTTTTTAGATAAAAGAAATGACATACCTAAAGAATTTAAAGGGTTGTATTTCTAGAAATATACTATTTTTTCAAAAGCCTGGGCTAATTCCTTGAATAAATAACTTAAAAACATGATAGCACTTGATTGATTGATTGATTGATTTTTGGGGTTTATTGGCGCAACAGCCGATTTCGGCTATACTGCGCCAAACATTTGTTTTAATATCTGTGGTCTAGACGGGAAGAGAGAAAGAAAGAATGAATTGAATGACAAGAAAGAGGGTCGAAAATAGAGAAGGATCACTAGGGTACCCCGGGTTCGTGAAGCCCGTGTTTACCAAAGACAGTAAACCCCTTGGAAAAAGGAAAAGATCACTAGGGCACCTCGGGATTGTGACACTCGTACTCACCTAAAGAAGGTGAGCCCCCTGAGGGGACATGATAGCAATGCCCACGTACATTTCGGGTTGTTTCGTAAAAAAGGGGGTGCGCCCTAAAAAATATACCTAAAAAATTAAAAAATGTAGCTTGAAGTATAGGTGCGAGTTATATACCGGTGAGTGTATTACGCTGGATTTTACGGTACATAAGAACAGTGAATCAGGTAGAAACCAGATTTTACCTATTATTAGATTTATTTACCAAATTTAATGAGGTTAATTTGCAGTTACAAG